AAAAATAAATAACGTAAATATCAATGTCGGGAAATTATTTATATTACCTCGATCTCCATAATGAGAAAATAATCGATCCAGGAAGGTCTCGTCACTACCTCCAGGACATACGGTCTCTTCGTCCAGCAGCCAGAGTAATCCTTTTCTTTCCATTTGCCTACTGCCGCTAAGATCACTTTGACTAGTTCGCAACATTGCGCTTTGCGAGCTTCCACGATCCAGAAGGGAAACTAAACCTTGAGGCGATCCGATGCCTTCCTCGTCATAATCATCTTCATAATCTACATCGATACCTTCCTGAACGTATCTGTGATAAATTTTTACAAGTTAAATAGCGATAATAACGAAAGTTATTTTATAATAATTTTAAATATTTGTTGAAGAATTAATTTTATAACACTCTATTCTATTTAATGGATTATTTTTCATGGATTATTTTTGAAAGAGATTGGAGATTTTAGATTCTATTTTTCAAGTTTCGTACCTATCCTTTGGCGCTACTAATGTAGTATGATGAAACAATAACTGCAGACGTTCCTGCAGATAATTATGGCAAAGATCTTCAAAGGTTGCACCAGTTTGTCGGCCGCATGAGGCAGGATTTTGAAAACCTGGCGAGTCACACAGCAGCAGAGATGAAACTGTATGTACAGCAGATGATATGGATCTAGAAAATAACAAAAAATATTACTACTGAGCAAATATAAGTACAACAACAAAAAGTTTAATAATTTATATAATTTGAATTTCACTGATTGTTTAAATTTTCAAAAAATATCTCAAAATTTATTTTTTCTATTCTTTAGAATTATTTTAAATACATAAAATGTAATCTAAAAGGAAAAATATATTATAATAAAATTATTCAATGAATATAAAATTTATTAAACAAATAAAGTCATAACCAATTCCTCGGCGAGCAGAATCTTGATTGCTAAATTTGTATATATGAAATAAAATTCAGTAATTCGATAATTAAATATCTTGATATTTATTAAAATTCCTTTTATTATTCCCCTCACAGGAAATATATATTGCAGGAAATAATATTGGAAAAATATCATCTCAGCCAGGGATCGAACCTGCATATTTGATTATCGAATTGCTACAAAACATTATAAGTTTGCTAAAAAATAGTATCCCATGGTTGGTAATAAAAAAAAATTATTTGAATTTTATTTTATATATAGAAATTTAGTAATCAAGATCTTGCTTGCCGAGGAATTGGCTATGATTCTATTTGTTTATTAACACATACTCGGCTTATATTAATGTAAAATTTATTAATTTGTTTACTTGTTAATGAGAGCCGCGACGCAGTGGAAGACTTCGGAATAGAGTCCGACTAGAAGTCCTTCCAGAGCATCAAGTCCCATGACATCTTTGCCTTGTTCCGTTGGGCTGGGTGTTCTCAGAGCCGGCCTCGGAGTGCTCGGTGTTCCAGCACCGCCTCCATTGGTGGAAAACACCACTCGACTCAGTTCTTCCACCGTTGTGCCCAGCAGATTGGCGGCTTTTTCCGCGCACTCAACCCTCGCGAACTGCCATCTGCTTTGCGAGCTGGTGCCAGCTTTCATGGCGCTGGCACAACTCAAATGATAAATGCCGGCCAACACCAGCCAGATTACTTTTTCGTCGGCCTCAGAGATGCCGAGTATCCTGAATGCGGCGACAATACGGTTAAACTCGACCATAGCCCGCTGTTTGTCCTCGTGTTTCTGTAAGGGCGTGACGAAGGGGTTGTTTTCGGCGACTAGATTCGTGAGATGTAATTCTTTCCTTAGCGCGCCCTCCGCACCAGCCAATAGACGGTAAACGGCGTGGAACGTCGGATCTCCATTCGCTCGTCGACCTATCCTTGACTTCTCCAGAAGTAACACCTTGCGAGAAAAAAACAGGACGTCATATCCTTTGTGCATAGAAGAAAAATAAATGGCGAAAGGCAAAAATATGATTTTCTCTCACTTGTAAAGAGGCCGATGCGATTTGACCTGACTGATCAAAGTCAAGACTAAAGAGCTGTGTGAAACGCGTCGCATTCGAATTCATATGCGTTCTGCTATTTCCAAAGGCCTCAAGAACCGTGAATAGTGCGTTCAGCTTCTCGATCGTCAAGATCTGTAGAAAGGAATGATATCCGTTCAGAAATGATTTGTACAAAGAAATACCTCGTAATGTCCCACTTCGATACTTTTATCTACCTTGTTAACCGTGCCAGCGGCCAGCACGAGATAATGAAGGGCGTGTTTGAAGTTTGTAGTTTTCCCCGCTCCACTACGCCCGAGGAAAACCAGAGAATGGTCCCTGCGTGTCGCCAGCATTCCTCGATAAGCCGACTGCGCTATGGCATAAATATGCGGCGGCATGTCCTCGCTTTTGCAACCTCGGAACATGTGCGCGACCTAAAGAAAGGAACGAAGAGAATTTTAATCTCAGACATTAAAAATTTAAACGTGAAAACACGGATATGGAATTTATTGAAATCGATTAATGAGAAATTTGATGAATTTTCTCGTACACGAGCTTAATATTAATAAGTTAGTTTACGTCGAATTATTTATAGAAACTGAGAAACTGTGACCGATATAAATTTAAATAAACCTTTAAAATGGCCTTGCCTTTTCAGAGTAAATCGCTAGTGGCGCAACTGGATTGATAACGATCATGCTGTCTCCTGCATACGTGTGTATCAAATTACTAGCGTAGCGTTGGCGCAGCGTGTGGAGAACCGACGATTCATTCAGAAATCGCAGCTGCGAGAGCTCCTCAGCTTTATCGAACTGAGGTGAATTGGCCTATAAACAGATACAATGATAAATCATGATGATAAATGAGGTGCAACGATCAAATCGTTTAGTTTTGATTGATCGGCAAGCATGCTTAATAGGCAGTCAAGAGTTAACTCGAGGAAGTAATCATAATACCTTCTCCACGTCTTCCTCGTCCACCAGTAATTCCTCTCCAGAGGTGGTCAATCGAATCCTCAGTTTTCCTGTATCAGGATCGGCGGAACCGCATCTTGTGGCAGGTGTAAAACCTCCGCGATGCAGTAACCAAACTCTCTCAGAAGTCAACCATGCTTGTTCTTGCGCCAGATGCTCTTCCGATCGTGCCTGTAATATCAAAAAGACACAGATAACACCTTAGCACTCATATTATCCATAATATGTTTGGTAAAAAAAAGATGAAAAGATATTTTTTTATATCGAATGAAAATAGAAATTATTATACCATGTTAAAAAATCCAATCCTTCTTACAAATAAATAAATTAAGAATATAAATGAAGGACTATTTGAAATAAGTTAGACGACAATGTTAAATATATTTTAATATGAATATTAATATTTACAAAAATTTCATTAACGCAAGGCAAACGTTTCGATCCTTGGTCATCTTGTGATTAACAAAAACAAATAAATATAACGTTATTCTTAATACATGTCAAATACGATTAATGAAAATTCGAGGCGCCCTACAGTTGTCCAAAATATAAAATTCATAGATGAGAAGAGACTCACAGTACTCGGTCTCAAGTCGAGTTGAATTGAAAAATTGTTTCCTAGCAGTTAAATCAAAGGTGATCTTATGAAAAACATGTCTGAAATTAGGAATCCGGAAGTAAAATATCTCAGAGGCTGTTCATCATGAGATTTGGACATGGAGGTAAGTGTGAGAATGAGCCAAATTCCAAATAAATAAGTTCACTTAAAGTGAATGATCGAAAGCAAATTCTTAATGCTTGAATGTATCTTGTTTAAGAAAAGATTCAACGAGGCATGTTAATTGAATTGTCTACAAGAGACAACGTTCTTTCAACGTCTTGCCCGTCGCAACAAACTCGTTCCTCTTTTCACGTTGCGAAACGATCGTATCGTTATGAGCTTTATCGCAAATGTTTCCCTACTGGCAACTTACTAAGCACGGCCTAGCGAGGACATCGCACACCTACATAATGTGGAGTTGAATCGACGATGTCCTCGACGATCTCGCTGGCGGCGGCGGTCAGTCGCGATGGGGATCGTTATGAAACGTCTTATTGCGTGGCCGCGCGATGTATTACGACTACAGACGAGCAGACCTGCGTACGACCATTAACCGAGACTACTCATTAACATCCAAATAGCATTCGCTCGATCCTTTCTATTTCTATCTTCCCTCATTTCACCTTGTGTCCTTCTATCCCTCTTCGGGATGGAATGACTATTATCTCAAAGGCATAGGAAACAAGCTTCATCGAATCGAATCTTGTTATTATCTCGTACTGAAATAACGTTGAGATGACATAAGCGTAGGTATTAAATATTATCGGTGTATTAATTATTATCGATTATTAATTACGAGATACTAATGGGAATCGTGTAGTAATTAGACTTGGTTCATTAGCGTATCGTTAAATTTGCACGAACATAAGTTAACCAAGTTGTTTCGCGACTCTATTCTCTTTAAACTCGTGAATCACCGTGTCGGCGCAGCTAGGAGTTCTCTCGCGTATCGATTTCCGCATCGAACAACTGCAGCGTGGTGATTCGTATGGTTCCACCAGATAAGGAAGACAGACAGTGAATTTCCTGGTACATATATTACCATGTATCGGGTCTCGGGGCTCATTGGTAGCGTACAACGCGCCATTGTTTCACGGAGATACGCGGCGAACGTCGCTCTTTCAAAGGCCTAAATGAGGGGATTGTTTGAATATTACGAGTTTGCCCTTTAAACGCGTTTCACGCGCTCTCACGCGATAACAATTTGCCAGAAATTTCCTGGATTCTCTCAAGGCACATATTACGTTGAAAATGAAGCTCTAATCATGGGACTGTACATGTGACGAAACATTTTAATTTTCGGTTTGCCGAAATTGACAAGTTGGTAAAAGAGACGTCTTTTGAATCTTAATACTACTTAAAAAAATTGCATATATCTTATAAAAGATTATAAAGATATTTTTCTAATTTTCTTATTTTTCTCGGGAAAAATTGATTTCCCCATTGGTCCATGCCGATGACTTTAACCTGCGCCTGCTCGAATGCTTCGATTTTCTTCTCGAGAAACGTACCTCGTCCGTTTGCGGCATCACTCTATTTTCCAGAAGGACCTCAAGACGCTTCATACATTCGCCTTCATTCTTCGTCCGATCGATTTCTCCGCCACGCGTTATCACGTTTGGCTCTATTTTTCCGTTCTCCCGTATTTTCCGCCTTATCTTCCTGGCTAGGGCCATCTCGAACAACTCTTCCCATTCGATTATGTCCTGAATCGGCTTTACGCACCTTTGGTGACCCGGTCGACTTCGCTTCGACACTTTCTTCGTATTATTGGCCCAGCTACTTTTGAAACCGAATCTCCGAAGCCCATTGTCCATGTTCGGTGTCCTCTGCTCTATCTCCGCCGTGATCCTATGCCACTTGCGTTCCCTCGGCGTCCTGATAACGTTACTATCGTCCCAGCCTTCCTCCATTCTCTTGATCCTGTCATTTACGCATCCTACGCGCAGAGTGTCCGCCCAGCTTTCTTTCCTACAATTTTTGGTAACTCGTGCTGACGGCGAGCACTGATTGCTCCCGTGAGACCCCTTGATTCTTTCTTTGGCATCGGACTTGACACTCGCACGATCGAGGCCGCGGTTCGAGTTGACCAGTCGATTTTCCGGACAGCCATTCTGCCCGACCTCGGAGGAGGGCATGCTGTCGCTGTCGCTGCACTCCCACGAGCTCGTGCTATTTCTGCTGTGCTTCCTGTCGAGTCTGCCGAGGACAACGCCATTGCCCGAAATGCCGAATTCGTGCTGCTTGGAGAAGTCCTGCGCTGGTGATTTCGAGATTTTTTGCGAGGGAAGACTCTGACGATTGTTCTGCTTGGCTATCCCGCTGGCGTGAGCCTTGCCTCGACAAGATCTGTGAAGAAGACGATGCGCACCGAGCGACATGTTGTCGATCTCGTCCCTGCTGCGCGGCATCTTTTTCGGTATCTCTTTAGGGAAGCGGATTTCACGCTGTCACTTTCCCAACGCAATTATCACAACTCCCGACAGGATTTCTCTCTCCTGGCCTGTGGGCTTTCGTAAGCTTGCTTGTAAATTCACATATATGGAATTCCTCATTGATCATCGAAAGCCGAAAATTTCTACATGCGTGTCTTATCTTAATCGATATCCACTCGTCATCGATCGTTGCTTTCCTGATAGCTCCAAACTTTTCTCAAAGTTATGGCAATTGTGTAAAAAAAAAACAACTGATCACTTAGTCTCCCCTCGCGATTTCGTGAATGACAAATCTTTGAAAGCAGTTATCGAATTACACAGCATCGAGCATCGTCGTCGAACTCAATCAAAATTAATTCATAAGGACGCGAGTAGCATCGTGCGAGCCTGTAAATTTCTCTTGGTTTCCGTTTCGAAGCGTTTCAGCGGACGACTCGCAACCGCGTGAACGTAGACGCGACTTCCTCCGTGAAATCCTTTCATGATTCGAGATGGCGGCAACGGTCACGGGGACAGGACTCGATCACTAGGAGCATCACGGGGGTCTCCCGAGTGTGGACTGAAGCAACGCTAGTGCTCCGAGACAGAGACAGGTCCTCTCGTTGAGGAGAGCCGAGGAGAACGAGAGAGGCGTGTGCCCACGAGAGCCGCCCGGGAGTTGTTCTTTCTCTCCATCATGAAACGTAATTCTCCCGCTCGCTCGCCACGTTCCTCCGTCCTCGTCTCCCGCTTCCGTCGCGTTGATGTCCCCTCTCTGTCCCCCCTATCGGTCGACCATACGCACAGCTTCGGTTACTTCAACGTCCTTCCTCCGCGATTTGCACAGACGACAAACAGTCGGCTAGTAGGCCGATCCGATTTCGCGGAGGCCGAGATACAGTCAGCGAAAATTTAAAGGACCAGGATAATTTCATATTCTCATATTTTCCGCGTCGTAAAGCATTAATTAAAAATATTTGGTTAAAAATATATTACACTAAATCCACCTTTTTAACATAAAATAAAAAAGCTCCAATTTCGCCTTTGATTAATATTATTTAAAATAAATAGCTAGTTTTAACGCATTTCCTTTAAAGTATAATATAAATCTAGTTTGAAGCTAATGATATGGAGCACACTGAAGTTAAATGGTCCCTGAGTTTCCTTCTAGAGGCCACAATGCTCAACCTACGGAAGCGGAACATGAGTGCAACTAAGAAATGCTTCTGAGAAATACTCGACTCGATCGTTGGCTTCAAATATATGCCGTTTACCGTGCAAAGCTCCCGCGCTTTCGAAAGCTTCGAACGAGAAGCGGAGGAAATTCCGGGAGCAGTATAGAAGTGTTTATATATAGCTTTCCTCAGAAGGGACTTCTGGTAGGTACCGGAGATGTATTATTCAAGTGACTCTCAGTTTAATCTTTATAACACAACAACTAGCATGTAATAAGTTCTTTCTCAAGAATTTTATACCTCATATTTTTGCGGTTTCTCGCGCGCGTAGTATAAGTTTTTTCTCACTTCACAAGATTTACATCCCGCAGTTGGATCGAATAAAATTATATAACAGCGTCTTTGTTTTGCACATGATTGCGGAGCGTGGTGATGGGAAAATTGATCTTGCAAGCCTGAAGAAAACGCTCGCAGATTGATCACGTGCTGTGCGCTGAAGCGACGGTTTGATGCGTGCCATCGCACGTGCTGCCGAGAGAAACGCACGTTCGTGAAGATTCGAGGGAGCACCGGGACCGCTATTTTAAGAAACTCGTAACACGCGAGATTGCGTCCAACCAAAGCGAGTTACTCGACAGACACGGACATTGCCACAAACATACGTCTGTATAGAGAGAGACGTAATATAACGGCGCAGCCGGTGTTTAGCTCTTTGCGGTCCGAATACCGCCGCCGCGACCATGTTGGCCGCGAGAGATGACTGCGAAATTTTTTGATAAACGATAATTGGTTTTCGCGTATCGGCAATATCCGATTTTAAATATATACACCACGACGGCGTTGTGATAACTGACAAGGCAGCTCTCTGCTCTTTCAGTCTCTCTTTCTTCGCGTCAGATGAAACTCGCAGACAAGAGCCATGTGATAGATAAGGAAAGGATAGATAATACCATTCCAAGGACGAGTAGCGTTCGTCCAGCT